ATATAAATAGATACTTCACAATAACAAGGGTTGAAAAATAAATATATTTTTTAAAAAATTAAAAAATTTCTACCATTGAATCTAGGAAACTGAACCGGTCCACCAGCTGCAGGACACACTTTCCAAACACCATCAACAACAACCTAAAAAGAAGTAAAGAAGTTCACAGTAACATTGGAATATCACATAAAAAACTGACAACATGCAATTCGAAATGAGTCCTTAACTCATTGCTGAACATAAATGAAGAAATGATGCGGCTTTGCCGACTATGATTAGGAAAATTTTATAATTTAAAGATAATTATACTTTTGCCAAGGAATTGGTTTTTCAATGTAAAGACAATTTTTCCATAATGGTCCTAAAAGAGATGGTATCAGTAGGTCAGATTTTGAAGCTCAACACGTGCTACATGTACCTCCTCAACAACATCCAACAAATACCTAAAACTGAACTAGTTATCTGCAAAAATAGTACCAAGATGAGAGGTGAATATAGAGAAATCAATATCTGTGGATATACATACATGTATATATATATAGAGAGAGAGAGAACAGAAACATAAACTTGACCATTGTTGTTGGTGAGATTTATAGAATTCAAGAAACAAATGGGGAAAATCAAGAACATTATAGCCTCTTCTTCAACACTTTCTCACACACACATACACAGAAGTCGATGAAAAGAGGTTTTTACTGAAGACGGAAGGATTTGAAGGAGCTTACCAACATATCTGATTCGAAACCCCTATATTTGGATCAGGCGTTCTTTGAAACCTTCAAATCTGGCTTTAATTAGTTCGAAATCCTTCAGATCTCGTCTCTTGTTCTTTTCTTCAACGAGCACCACCACCGCCATCCTCTTCCACCACTGTAGCTGTCGATCTGAGGTGATAATGAGAAGACAGCAGCGGCGGTGAGTGTGGATGAGATCGGTAGAGAAGAGAAAGAGAGAGATGTGTTTGGTGACAGAAAAGAGTGAAAATGAGTGAGAGAGAAAAAAAAAATGAAATCGAAATCAAAATCAGTGAGCTTGATGCAGATCGACTTGATGTAGATAGGTTTACCTCTCAGTAAATGAAATCGATTCTGAAGCTTGATGTAGATAGGTTCACCTCTCAGTGATTTCTATGTAAATGGAATGGGTAAACAAATTAAATCACCGAGCTGATTCCAATCGATTCCTATTCTGAAATCACTCTGAGATTTAAGGGATCAATAAGCTGAAGCGATAGATTTGAGGCATCTTTTTTCTGAGACTGAAGAGTAAAGAATGAGAGTCTCAAGAGGGAGGGAGAGGGTGTGAGAGATTATAACACATTTGGAGGCATTTTCTATCAGCTAAACGGTGCCATTTTGATTAGCACAAAAGGCGACGTTTATAAACGCCGTTAAATATTAAAAAAGACAACGCTTAAGAAAACGTCATTATATAAACGTCGTTAAAACAAACATTTCCTGTAGTGCCTGTTGTGCTATCAGAAATTTTGAAAGGTCATGAAGCAAGAAATTATGCAACTTTTTTAAAGAATTCCATCAGAACAGCAGGCTCACTTATGGCATTAATAGTACTTTTATTACTCTCACCCCTAAGTTCGAAAATCCCATTAACCTATCTCATTATAGACCCATTAGTCTTGTGGGTTCTCTATACAAAATTTTGGCAAAAGTTCTAACACATAGATTAAAGCCAGTGTTACCCTCAATTATTGGTCAAACTTAGACTGTTTTTCTAGGTGGGAGAAATATCCTTAATGGGGTATTCATTGCCAATGAAGTGTTGGATGGATGGAAGAAAGCCAAAAAACAAGGACTGATTATAAAGTTGAATTTTGAGAAAGCCTTTGATTTTGTAAACTGGGAATTCCTATTTTCTTTGTTGTCTAGCTTTGGTTTTGGGTCCCACTGGACTTCTTGGATGAAAACGTATGTCTCTACAGCCAGAATTTCGATTCTTGTGAATGGATCACCAAATAAGGAATTCTCACCCCAATGAGGTCTTAGGCAGGGTGATTCGCTATCACCTTTCCTAATCAATATAGTATCTGAAGGGCTCAATATACTTTTGGGCAGAGCACTTAATCTTGGCATTCTTAAAGGTGTGCTAGTTGGGGCTAATGATGTTCTTTTATCTCATCTAAAATTTGTTGATGATTTAATCCTCCTTTCTGAAGCAGATTAGGATAAGATGGTCTTTGTCAAAAGAATTCTCAAATGCTTTGAAGTTCTCTCTGGTCTCAGAATTAATTATCACAAAAGTGTGGTGTGTGGTGTTGGTGTGGCTGATGCTCTTTTGCTCTCTTTTGCAAAACTTCTTAACGGTAAAGTGCATAGCCTTCCTATCAAATTTTTGGGGCTGCCCCTTGGTGCTAACCCTAGTAGAAAATCTACTTGGAAGCCTGTGCTTGACAAATTCAGATCTAGACTTTCCGGGTGAAAGAGAAAACTGCTGTCATTTGCAGGAAGGCTAACTCTGATCAAGTCTACCTTGTCCAGTCTACCAGTGTATTTTCTTTCTTTATTTAAGATGCCTGAAGGTGTGGCTAGAGAAATTGAAAAGATTGAGGCTACATTTTTATGGGGTGGCAATGCCATTAAAAGGAAAGTTCACCTTGTGAAATGGGTAAAGGTTACAAGGAGCATAGATCTAGGGGGGCTGGGTATCAGAAGGATTAGAGATGCTAATACTTGTTTACTACTCAAATGGTGGTGGAAATTTGGAACTCAAATCAATGCTCTTTGGAGGAGAGCCATTTGTAGTAAATATAAAAGATTGATGAGTTGTGTTGGTTTCCACCAATGAAGCCCTCTTATAAACATTCCAGAGTGTTGAAGGACATCATCTCCATTGGGGCTCATAGCAAAATTATTTTCAATTTCTATTTGGGCAACTGCCTTATTAAAATGGGGAATGGAAATAGAATTAATTTTTGGCATGACAGGTGGTGTGGTAACTCTTGTCTTAAGATTGAATTTCCACATCTCTTTAATCTTTCAACTGATAAGGAAAGCTCTCTCCACCAATTCTTTGCAAGGAAAACCAGTTCAAATGATTGGAATTTGCCCCGTAGAAGAGTGCTATATGTGGCTAAAGAAGCTAGATTGCTTGGTGTCCTATCCTCAGCTTCTTCTTTGAGTCTTGAAAGGGCAGACTGTTTGTCCTAGGCTAGCACATCTACAAGTCTTAGTGAGTTTTCTGTGTCCTCTCTTTACTTTCTTAGTAACTCTAATTTTGGCCCAATCTTAGAATCTGTAAATCCATTTGGAATAGAACTCTTCCCCCTAAGGTTTCATTTTTTTGTTGGCTGGCATAGAAAAATAGAATCAAGTCTGCAGAATTTTTACACAGACTTGGCATTCTGGATAGAAGTGTTTCTATCCTTTGCGCCTTCTGTAGAGTTGAACTTGAATCTGTTGTTCCTGTTTTGCTTCTTTGTCATTTTTCTTAGTTGATTTGGTCTTTTATAATACATGATTGGGGGTTTTATTGGTGCATCCATGACTCTGTGGAAGGCCTTCTCAATTGGCAGTTGGGTGGTAGATTGAAGAGCTTTGATAGGTTAATTTGGAGAGCTATCCCCTTTATTGTCCTTTGGTCTCTTTGGAAGCACAGGAACGAATGTGTTTTCTCAGAGACTCAACCCAATTTCTATGGCCTGAGTGAATTAATCAAAATTAGAGCAACACTTTGGTTGAAAGCATTTATTAAGGACTTCCCTTTCTCAATTGATGAACTAGCTTTAAAATGGAGTCAAATCAGGCTTTGTTCTTGACTCCACAGCTGGCCTTTGCTTTCTTGATCCGAAGATGTATCAAATGATGTGTAAAGCAAACAATATGATGGTTGTTTTGATCTACTAGTCTGCTCTGCTGATCTGTTAGTCTGTTTGAATCTATTCTGATCTGCTACTCTGCTCTGCTGATCTATCTTGATGATTATGGTAGAAGCTGGTAGCTTTTGGTTGTGTTCATTTTTTATAGTAGTTGTCTTCTATCTTGATCTAATCCCTGCAGTCTTGATCTGATCTGTTAAGCTACTTTGCTACTCAGTTAGTGAGTGTGCTTGATTCTGCTGATCTGTTAGTCTGCTTGATTCTGCTTTACTGACTGCAGTCTTGATGATTATGGTGGAAGCTGGTTGCTAATGGTTATGCTAATGGTTTGCTTGAGTTCTCCATTAGGTGATGCTTAAGTAGTAAAGGCTTTGCAAATGGAAGCTTTGCTCTATTGTTGGGATTGGTTAGAGCTTACTCAGGATTTGTTGTTGTTTCAAACAGAGGTGTTGCTACTATCTTTCTTTACTCTTGTTTGTCTTTGCTTTTTCTCTGTTCGTTGGTTCCTCACTAACTAGGAGGTTGGAGCTTTTTCTAGCTCCAAACTCCTCTTTATTGATGTCCCTTTCTGTACTTTCTATGTGTTTCATCAATAAAGCTTTCTTTACAGATCAAAAAAAAAAAAAAAAGTTGTAAAAAAAAAATTGCCCTAAACCATTTTTAAGCTAAACAAAATCATAAAAGCCTTTTTTTTTTCTTTTTTTTTTTTGCATCCTAAACATATTGAGCTTGAGTGAGCTATATCTCCTTCTTGACATGATGTCAATGCTCAATCCATTTTAGTTAACATGTCCGATTGAGTAGGGGTTGCGACTCCATCATTTTTGGAAACTTACAAATTTGATTACGAAAGAAATATCCATGCTTGACTCATTTTGTTTGATTCAGTCAAAAGACAATTTATTTTTTTCAATAGAACATATTACATTCAGTTTTGATTTCATATTCTGGGTTCCCAATCTCACACATGTACAAACACAAAAAATTGAAAAATTGTTATTGAAATATTTGAAAAGGCTACATTATGCCCTCAACAAGATTGTTTTTTCCAACTACAGTTGGGTTATATTTTAAAAGTTATTTTACTACTACAACTATGAGAATTAATCAGACTCTCAATTTGCAAACTATTGGGTACTAACACTTAAATCAATTTGCAAAGTATGCCATGGGCAACAGGGCTTCCACAATAGCCGATGTGTATAGCTATGGGATTCTTCTCTTGGAGATGTTTACAGGTAAAAGACCAACTGATAACATATTTAAGGATGATCTAAATCTTCATATCTTGGTTGAGAGTGCTTTGCCCGACCAAGTGCTGGAGATTGTGGATCCCCGCATTCTTTCAGAACACAAGCCAAGAAGTTGGCTTAAAGACAATCTGGTTTCTGTCTTGAGAATTGGAGTTGCATGTTCAATGGAATCACTAAGGGATCGAATGCAGATTCAAGATGTAGTTAATGCATTATTTAAGATAAAAAAAAGTTTGTGAAAATAATGGGTTGAGACAAGACTAGGAAAATCTTATCAAACATGAAATCCAAAGGTGTGTCTCCCAACAACTCTTTTTGTTGATAGTCTTTACTTGTCAACCTATTATTTATCATCATCCAACCCTTTTCCATTTTTTGTCACCTACAACTCAAGCAAAGATTAACCGAGGAACAAATGAGAACACGCGTTTCAAGTTGAGATAGATTATGTTGTTTTTTCATTCACTATTTGGCTTGTCACATAAATCACTTTTAGGGTGGGACCAAATGAAACGATTTGTACCATGAACTGCGTAATTATGGAAATTAATTTAAGAAATGACCCCTAATTTTGGACCACTCGACAACATAACTAGTAGAGCACTACTACTAGTGAAACCATATGGTCAATAATAGAATGATATATCAAAGAATCAAATTCCTTTCATGCTCTCAACAATGTGTGTGCATGACATGTTTTTTATTCACAAAAAATTCCTCATGGGTACCCATGAGCTTGAGGCAATAAAAGCAAAATTTACAACATTGGCTGCAAACAGCTTCTCAATATAACCAGCTACCTATGACTAACATTGTCAATAGTAGTTAATTATTGTTCTTTTAAACTGATTTTTCTTTCAAATTTAGTACATACATCAACTTTAAATAAACATATCCACCTCCAAATCTAATGTTTCACATGAATATATAAAAAAGAACAGGAATAGTCATGACAACACACACACACAAATATATAGCACCGATGACACCCAAGGAAGTAAGCCTTAAGTATTCAAATGGCCTTGATTTGCTTGTTGTATTAAGACAAGGGTACAGATATAAGGGAATATGGGCTGCAAAGGAGAAACCGTCGGTCAAAAAAATTTCATTGAAATTTGAACAGTTTTGTGAGAACAAATGTATCAAGAACAAGCGAGGGAAACAGTAACCTATTTATCTTATTCCAACATAAGGATCACTGAGGAGGAACTTTGTTGACTTAAAAAAGATAGAACATGAACTGCTAAAATATAAGTTTAATCATACATATAAAGGTGGCAAATCATTAATCTATTAAGAAAATGGATAAAAAGCTATCAAATGCCTAGTTGATTGGAAAAGTTTACACTTCTCATCTTTCAAGCAATTCCATCCTCTATTAGCAAGCCATGTAGACGGAATAAGAACAGAGAGGAATCCTCTAATACATTCTAACTGTAACAAAACTAATAATCTAACAAACTGGTGGTAGCACCCACCCAGCATGGTTACAAGATGTGTGGCATGGAATCTCAAAAAGGAGGAAAGCGACAAAACTATTGACATAGGTGTTCATAATGGAACTGACATTGCCATAGCAGAACTAGATGTCCATGTAGCAGAACTAAGCGTTCAGATCTGAAAACTGGAAAAGGTAACATGACATTGTTTGCTCTTCATTCATTTAGTAATCAATATGTAAGATAAAATTTACCTTGTTGGGATTAGACTTTGTTCTCCTAGTATTATGAAAGGACTAATGTACTATAGACTAATTTGAAAATAATTTGAGATATAGGGTCTGGGTTAGTCAATCGAGCTAAAAAATGCAATTGTTTGAAATAATGAATCGAGCTAAAATCTCATAAGTTGAAATACTATATCATTGACACACAAATAAGTTTCATGGTTTTCTAACCCAACCATCTCTTAGATAGAGCATAACATGATTAATAGACAGATCAGTTATATATACACACACATTTTAATAGATACAGTCACACATGAACAGATACAGTCATACACACACTTTTTCAGCCTATTATTTACCAGTTCTCAGACTGATAGAAGTTTAATTATGAATTTCATTATTGTTAAATTATTTTAGATTTTATTGTACAGCATATGGTAAATGATATGTCCACAATTCTAGGCAAATTAAACTGTTTTAAATTAATTTATTTATTTATAATTTACAGCGCATGGCAAATGATTGCCCTAATTTTTAATTTCAATCACATTTCAATAACAATGCCCTAATTTTCAGCATTTCCTATATGATTTCTGTGTATATATATATGTGTGTGTGTGTGTGTGTGTGTGTAAACAGAGACAGAGAGAAAGAGAAAGGGAAATCGAAAGGGAGACAGTGAGAATGAGACAGAGAAATCGAGAGAGAGATACAGAGAGAGGGAGAGACGGATGCGAAATAGAGGACATACCTAGGAGGGAGACAAAGCGATGATCCAACAACCCTTGTGGTGATGGCGGTGGAGACAAAGCTATAGAGAAGAGGGCAAAGGCGTGAGTGTACCAGTGTATAATCGATTATATATGGGATCAAGGTTGTATATATATGATTTGTGTGTGTATATATATATGCATGTATGTGTGTGTGTGTAAACAGCAAGAGAGAGAAGTAGGAAAACCGAGAGGCCTCTGTGAGAAGGAGGCAGAAATCGAGAGGAAGAGAGAGAGAGAGAGAGAGAGGCGAAATAGAGGACATACCTGGGAGGGAAACAAAGTGATGATCCAACAAGCCTTGCGGTGATGGTGATGGATACAGAGCAGTGACAGAGGCGGTAGTGAGAGAGAGAGGGAAATGGATTTGTATTACAATAAAAATAAAACAACACCCAATTTATTCCCGACCAAAATTCATTTTGGTCGCTAATGTTTTTATGAAAAATTTAATATTTCCTCCACAAATTTTCGTCATGTTTGGCTATTGAACTATAGTCAGTAAAGATTTCAGATTTAGCAACCAAAATAAAAATAGTCGCCCAAAACTTTCTTTTACACGACTAAAACACTTTAGTAGCCAAAAATGAATTAATAATATCTAAAGATTGGACATTTTAGCAACCAAAATATTTTTTAGTCTCCCAAAAGTTGCTTTTCCACGACTAACACACGATTAGCAGCCAAAAATGAAATAAATACCAATAAAATAACTTTATAATATCTAAAGACTATGCAATTAGCGACCAACATCATTTTTAGTCGCCGAAAATGATATTTTTAACGACTGACACGTAATTAGTCGCCAAAAGTAAAGACAATACCGACTAAATGTATTTTTAGTAGCAAAATAGTGGACTTTTACCGACCAAAAAGTTTTAGTAGCTAATTCATGTACCTTTGGCGACCAAATATTGTTTAGTAGCTAATGTGTCTACCATTGGCAACAAACAAATTTTTAGTAGCTAATGTGTATACCTTTGGCGACTAAATTTAGTTTAGTCGGCAAAGTTAGTCGTTGAATGTGTTATTTCTTGCAGTGTATGTATGTCTAGGAAATTGGGGCTTTGCTCCGAATTCGGAGGCTTTTGTTGATAGCGCTCCATGCCGAGCACGGAGATTGGTCCGTACTTGGAGACTTTTGTTGATGGCGTTCCGTGCCGAGCACGAAGATCGCTCTGTATCTGAAGACTTTTGTTGATTTTAAGTGGCGATCAATTTCAGACATTACTAGGATTGTGAATAGTACATCCCGTGTCATTGATTGACTGTACCAAATGATGTAGACTTGTTAATTACAAAAAAGTGTAAAGTTGAAAAACTTACATCAATAGGAGAGCATTAAAAAATAGAATTGCGCTGTTGTAAAGAATTGCCGAGTGAATTTAGGAAGCAGATTGAAGCAAATTGTTAAGATGATTTCTTGCCCTTGAGCTAGTATGAGTTGTGGTTGTGCCAAGTTAGTGTAACGCCCCGGAATAATTATAATAAACCAACCGTAACGATAATTAAATAACAACATAAATCAGAGTACAATATCCTTCCATTTCATGAAATTCAGTTGCACAAAAAAGGTGACACATGCGAATATACATTCATAAATCCTAACCCTGAATCTATATTATATGTCAATAACAAAATCAGAAGTAGAAGTTAAATAGATAATGAAAATGTCTTGAAGGCTACAACTTTCCAAGACAATACTTGGTTACATCAAAAGTGAGTCTTAAGCTCAATACATATAAAGCCCTAGGCTTGTATAAATATTAAATACAAAGTAATAAAACTGAGCCTTCAGCTCCACAATCCTCCCAAACTAAGTTCTTGGTGGAGGCATCTCACCAACACCTAAAAATGGTTTTCCCATATAGGATGAACCAAAGCCTAGTAGGAATAATCCAACACAACATATGAATCTTAACAAAGATATAAGGGTAAAATGCATATGCAATGCTCATGTCAAAACGGTTTACATTTCTTTCTCAAAATCATGTCATGCTCAATTTATATCACAATTCTCAAATCATATCCTTTACCATTTGAAGCAAGAGGGAGTTCTCAAACTAGTACAACCTTTCACGAATATTTTGTTTGTAGGAAACCGTCAAACGACACCCATGTAAATGTAGTCTATAAAAGCACTACTATTGTCATTTTATGGATATTTCGTCCATGGGAATCGGCACCCATGTATACGCTCGTTTTTCGGGACTTTCACCGTGGACACACAGGCCAACTTAATTTGGTCATATATACCTCTTTCCAACATTCACCTATTTTTCTCAAAATCATATACATTTACAATGTAGTAAATGAGCAACAAACGTTCAATGCACATAGATGGCAAATTAGTTTCAATTCACCTAATTCTCATGCAATTTCTACAACAATCATAACAATTCTCCACCGATAGCCTAAAACAAATATTTCTAAACAGATATAAAATCTCCAATACAGATAAACATATCAAAATTTAAGATGCGAGTGATAATACATATCCAACTCCACCATCCATATTAATATTCATCCAATTTCACATTTCCAACATTAATTTTATTTATTTATACAAAATAAATATTGGGGAAATTTATGGCAAACCCCTTTTTTCTTTTCAAAATCCAACCCAAGGGTCAAAATCCACAATTTGTTCACAACTCAACCTCATTTTCACTCCTACAACCATTTGAAAACTCCTTTTTTTATTTTAAACCAAAACCCTAGGTTTGTTCAAAATCCTCCAAAATCACAAGATTGTTTATGAAAAACAAATAGCTAAGTTAAAAATTATAAAAAAGTATAGAAAATCCCTACCTCAAAGCTAGACGACGAGAAAAGTGCAGATGAAACTCGAATGAAGTCGCAACCCAACTTTATTCAAATGAAAATGAAGCTCTAGATGAACTCTACCTTTTTAACAAAGAGAGTAAGGTGGAGAAATAGGTAGATCTTGGTATATTTGTAGAGAGAAAGTAAGTCCTAGAGAGAGAAGGTCTTAACTTTAGGGTTTTGAAATGTCTAGAGAGAGGAAGAGATGCAAAAGTGACTTTTACGAACTGATATACGCACAGTCCGTTTGAGAGCAAGAAGTGACGCTCGAGCATCCAGACACAAAAATGATTACCGCTCGAGCACAAGAAATGACGCTCGAGCGCCAAGATACAATGAAAAAGGGCGTCACCACTCAAGCGCAGGAAGTGATACTTAAGCATAGAATACACACTTCTAGTAGTTTTACAAACAGAAGACCATCGCTCGAGCGCAAGAATGGCCGCTCAAGCGCACTACCGCTCGAGCATATAATGCACTGTCCCAGTAGTTTTGCAGACCTACAAAAGTACTGAGAATTCACAAAGCCCGCTCGAGCGCAAGAAATGACGCTCGAGCAGATGAGTAAAATTCTAGGCAACAAAAGATTAAAAACCAAACTACCAACCTATTCCAAACGCAACCAATACAACCCAATAGCCAAACTCAAATGAGATATAAAGGAAATAAGACATGAACAACAATACGAAACCATGAAACCCGAGTCCAAAATAACAAATGGGTCGGGTCCAAACCAAAATTGCTATAGTCGGAGTAAGCTACTCCCACATTGTATACAACATATATTTGCCCCATTGCTTTTGAATGATATTTGTTATTCGAAAGGAATTCAAAATTGACATTGGCCATAATTGCCACGGAGTAAGCTAAAAACAAATTGTTGAAGCGGATTCTTTGCCCCTATTCTTCGCCATGGTGAGATCAAACTGAACCGGAGACAAAGTAGGATGCTTTGTGATATTCGAGGTGACATCAATTTTGTTCGTTTTGTACTCAATTTTTTATTGTTGGGCATCAAATAAAATTTGTAATTTTATTGAATTGAATTTACAAATTTTGACTGCACGGATATGTTTGGAATGCACCAAATAATTAGAAACAACTATTGGATCGTTGTGATTGGATGTCGAATGGTTCAGATTTAACCAAAATATGTAACGCCCTGACTTTTATTATTCGGATAAAGTACATTTTTCCTTAAATCAATCCATTTCAATAATAATAAACAACAAAGGCATTTAGGAAGGAATAAATTACAATGTTCTCTCTCGTGTACATGTAACGAAATACAATATACGCCTATAGGTGTTACGTCATCAATTACAAAGTAATGAAATATATAAAAGTGATTAACCC